AAGAAAAAAGTTTGTCGAGAGCAAAGAGCATTAATATTCAAATTATTGGAAAATGGTCCTCATTGCAGCAAATCTTTCGACCTTAGTCTTACCGGTAGTCTTACCGTGCAGTAATAGTGCAGAGAGAGTTCGCTTATTATACATTTGATAGAAAGAGTCACTGGTTTCTGATACATCATCACGTACAGTAGGTTCTTCTTCATTCCCAGCGTTTGTTCGTACCACTTTAAATCGTACGCGCTTCTCGAGAGGCTCAAACTCTGCGAATTATAGAACGTTATAATTAGTCTTACGGAGATGTCATTTCATTTCTTACATACGTGTTCTACCATGTCTTTCATGTTATCAGCCGGCCATGTATACATATAGAGATACATGAGGAAACACACGTTGAGTAGCACGAACATCATTTTCACGATTACCGGTGTATTCTGTTTATAAAATTATTGCACACGATCAGTTCGTTGAACGTGTTATCGGTCTTCTCTTAAATGTTTTACTTACCATGACCATTGTGACGGCGCACAGTGTCATGAGGAATGAGCATACCGCTACAACAAAAAGTACCGTGAAACGAAAACAAGTAATCACATCTTCCGCGTATCTGGAGGAAAATACAAGTTGCAAGTGCAGTGAATGTAAACGTATCGTTAGGTCCACTGTTTTGCGAATTTTTGCCAATATGTCGGAAATTGGGAGCAACGTATTGAACAAGCAGCTCGAGAACATATTTCAGGATTATAAAATTTGTATCAATTCTTGAACTCTACGAAACGAGTTACATCATTTAATAAAGTAGAAAGTGTTTTAAACTTTTTGCTGATTTTAAATTTCATAAAGTAAAACCGAATCTGTATATGTATATATAGATGTTGTTTGAAATATTAGAAACGGACAACATATTTCATAATTTCTAACTTATTCTATGTTGCTGTACGATGTTGCGTTTCGCGAACAGCGGACCTTGATCTACGCAGAAAAGTACAAAAAAACCTATGTCTTTACCTCTTTAACCGTAATTGCTTCTGAACGCATGCCTTCAATGTACGAATATTCGTATTGTTCTGCAGCTCCACGGCCAGACACTCGAACCTCGCTGTGGTGAACCAAATTAAAAGCCCCCCGAACACGCACAGACACACGTGCGAGGAGCATTGGTAGCACGCGACCATTTGGTGCGCGTGTATTATAACACTTATTGACGTGCGATTAGTGTCGAACGGGTATTCCGCGTGTATTATGTTGACCATTGGAAACATTTTAGGCCCCATCAAGTAAATGGACGCCGCCACGTATGCGCCGATTATGTAACTGGCGTAAATGACATTGCATCTCGCTAGGTACGTGTTGAATATCTGCCTTTCGTGTTGCTGCATCTCTTTCACGCAAGTGTACATTTCCTCGACTATACGCTGCAATTCGTTGTTAAGGTCATTTTTTAACCAAAAAAACTTCTTTTAGACCGGATGTGGTTTATTGGCGGCCCACGAGTCCTTGCCCCTACTCTCCTGATCTCCCCACCACATTCAAATCGTTGCGATGGAAGGGGTAGCGCTAGCGATCAGGAAAGTAGGGGTAAGACTTCGAGTACCGCCAGTTACCGGGCTCTGATTTTAGACAATTCCTGGCCACTGAATTTGGAATCGTTCATATGTCATTATATGTATAAATTAATTAGCGATTAATTTCTACGGAAAATGTTGCACTAGGAGATACATCGACCGTGGCTCTAAAGCGATTGAAATCTATATACAGTTTTACTAAAACTGTTAAAAATTCCGAGTGGTCCTTATTTAATGGCCAGCAATTTAGT